CGTTCATTTTTTGCTTCTATTCCGTTCTCACGCTAGTCTCTCACAGATCTCAAGTAGAGCAAAAAGAGAAAAAGAAATGACCGCCATCTAGTGGCAAGAATGGGATATCCGGTCACCTTTTGATTTTACATCGATGAGATGGGAAAATCAAAACAAAATTTATCAATAATCAAACAATAGTTCAAGTACAACTTTCACAAATATGAAAAATTAACAATTTAAAAATATGTAACAGGTTTTACAGTTTTACGTCCATATCTAGTTTGATAGTTCATATCACTGTCACACTCATTGGCAGAGTTCTTTCTGTTCATGGTCAAGTCACTAAACAAGTTAGGTCTATCAAGTTCGAGAGGATAAATACGTTTCACAGGTTTTAGGAGTTCACCCGTTGCAGTTTTCACTTTGACAACACGTACTTCGTTGTCTTTTCCAGGATATGTTTCTACAACGCGACCTATTGGCCAATCTATTCTTTTCTTGTTGTCGCTGCCGACATCTAGGTGGTCTAAGTCTGGTAATCCGACGTCGTGCACATCTTGCACAAACATTGAAGGCGTTAGTGAGGTAAGATCATTTGGATCTTCTGAAAGGTACGTAAGGGGTCTTGAGTTAATCACTGATTCGATATCACAAAGTATAGTCAACATTTCCTCGTAAGAGACACAGGACTTTCCGAGAACATTTCTCAACATCTTCTTCACTGTTTGTACCAACCTCTCCCACCAACCGCCCCACCATGAAGCAGTTGGGGGATTAAACTTCCACTGTATTCTCATACTAGTTGAATGACATTCTATTTCTTTCCAATCTATCGATCTTAACAGATTTTCAGTTCCAACGAAATTAGTGCCATTGTCGCTGTAAATAATACTTGGACGACCTCTTCTGGCAATAAATCTCCTTAATCCCAAGATGAACGCATTTGTTGATAAACTTTCTATCAGCTTCAAGATGTATCGCGCGATAGACCGCGCAAGTAAAGAGCAAGATCCATGCCTTTTTTCCTTTTCGTAAATAAAGAGGACCGGCTACATCGACTCCGGTCACTTCAAACACCACAGCATTTCGAACTCGATCTTCAAGAAGAGTCTCTATATTCTTTGCGCTATATCTTCTACAGCGAACACACTTCATAAGAACTTTACGTACTGTTTTTCTTCCTCTCAGGACCCAGAATTTCTGTCGAATATTGGCTAGTACGAATTGCACACCAGCGTGGGATAGTCGCAAATGGTAATCTAAAATTAACCTATGAACTAAGTCATGATTTGAGGGCAATACAATTGGACAGAGAAAATTTTATTCTTCCTCTCTTCTAGTAATCTTGGTCTTTAACCGAATAAGGCCATCTGAGTCAAAAAGGTACAAAGGTTGCTAACTTTAAGTTCTTTGCCAAATGCTTCTATTTGTATTATCTTGCATATTTTCTTTTCTACAGTTTCTATTTCAGGGACCGTGAGTTCTCCTGATTGTTTAGAATCTGGTCTTCTGCAGTTGTTGATAAATCTGCATATCCAAGCAGTTATTCTTAACATTTTATGGTAAGATGAATATTTCTCAAAAAAATGTTCTACCCTTTGCGTATTTAGTGCAGAAATGACTGATTTCCTTTTTTCTGAATTCACTATTTCCATGTCCGGTATTTCCCTTTGTCTAGGCCATTCTTCCTGATTTTTCTTCAGCCAGTCGGGGCCCTCCCACCATCTAACTACTAAAAGTTGTTTAGCGGTGCAACCTCTTGATGGGAGGTCAGCTGGATTTTTTGTTCCAGCAATATGTTTCCACGTTTTTGGATCCGTCAGTTTCCTAATCTCCCTGACTCTGTTTTCCACAAAGACAGCCCAGACAATCTCTTCCCTTTGAATCCATGTCAAAACTGTTGTAGAATCCGTCCAAAAATGCGTTTCCACATTTTGCCATTGTAAAACCATTTAAAACAGAAGAGCATAGTCTGGCACCTATCGTGGCAGCTATCAATTCCAGACGAGGGATCGTAATAGATTTTCACGGGAGCTACTCTAGACTTCGATGCCAACAGATGAACTTCAACTCCAGAATTCGTCACAGTTCTCAAGAAAACTGCAGCAGCATACGCATTACTACTGGCATCACAGAATGTGTGAATGCTGCAGAACTTCCTATTGTCCTTGCTGGAATGTATCCAACGTAGGAGGGATATTTCTTTTAAGAGAAAAAGGCTTTTATACCAATTCACAAAATTTTGTTTTGTACTCTCGTCGACTTCAGTATCCCAAGAAATTCCTGTTTTCCATAGGTTCTGCAACAATATTTTAGGATACAAGAGAACAGGACTCACAATACCAATAGGATCAAATATTTTGTGTGTTACAGCGAGAATTGTTCTCTTCGTTATTATACCCATTTCAAAATCTTCTAGCCAATTCAGATTCAAAGTTAAATTATCTTTCTGAGAGTTCCATAACAGACCCAATACGGGTGAAATAGTTTCCTGTTTCAAGTTATCTCCGTTATGTAACCAACCTCGAAGATTAAACTTTCCTTCATACATTATTTCTCGAGATTTTTCGATGAACTGGAATCATCTCGGATTCTTTGTCAAAACTGGCAACAACGTTATCTACGTAGAAGCTACGCAAGAGTTTAGCTATTATCTCCGTATCATATGAAGAATTTTTCATGTACTTTTGTAGATGGAATTCTATAACAGCTGCCAAAAGGAAAGGACTACTCTTAACCCCAAATACTACCCTAGTATGACGAAATATTTTCGTTTTCCTTTTCTTCCACATCATTCCACCAGAAAAACCGAAGCCAGTCTCTATCTTGAGGCCTTACACTGATCTGTAAGAAAGCCTTTTCAATGTCTGCTATAGCAGCAAACTTGCCTTCCCGAAATCTCAACAAAAGAGATGGAATTAGTTCTATCAAATTTGGTCCACACTCCAAACACTGATTTAGAGAAGGAGACGATTGTTTCCTCGCAGACGCATCAAACACCGGTCGAATTGGTGTTGAGCTATTTTTTTTCTTTGATCACCGGTCTATGCGGTAAATAATGTCCATAGTCAACCGCAATATTTTCTTTAACTTCTTCGATCACTCCTAAGTTACACCAGTCATTAAAAACTGCATTGTATGAAGAAAATAAATTTTGAGATAAAAGTTTCTGGGTGGTAGATTGTAGACGTTTCAACGCTAAATCCTTGTGGGTGGAGAGTGGTACATGATTCTCCGCCCACGGAAGTGCGACTTCATAACGCCCCTTCTTCGTTTAGAGATACAGAATTTTCGAATTGCAATTTTGCTTGCAAATCCCTTTCCTCTCTAGCCTTTTTTGTAACTGGATCTGTTATTCCGATAACATCAAGCTCCACGTTCTGACAGCTGCATCATTACAAGAATTGAAAGGAAAAGAAATTTTTTTTAATTCAAGTGTTCGAAGCCATCGAACACTTATACTTGCATTAAGAGTTCCCCACGCGCCACTTGCAGATTTTCTAATGATTTATCTTTCCATGCATTAATTCATCTGTCATAAAATACCATTATCAGAAAGTTCTTTAACAAATGGTTCTAATTTCGGAATAGGAATTTCTGAACAAATTTCCTGTTGGTCAAATACTTCGAAATTGCAGCGGTAATTCTCATTTATAGTGGGTAAGTATACACGATATCGAAAATGCTTCTCAGAATGTTCTTTACCACCAAATAAATTATGAATAACGCCTTTTCCCATAATTTTTTGGTACTGCATTTCCTTTATGACACGTTTTCTTAAATAAGATCGTTGAGAGCCTGTATCGATTAATACACGAATTATTTTCCCTCCATTTGTACCCCGTAATCTTACATACAACGTTTGTAAAAGGACTTAACGCGCACAGGTTCTATTACTTGACGCTGCATCACCAATCACATCTTGTTTTAGTTCCGAAGTATTTTCCTTTTGTTCTTTACGTTCATTCAATTTTTCTTCATTGCAGATAACCCTGCAGTGACTGCCGTGGCAGTTTTCGAAAATAATTTTAGACCTGCAGTCTCTTGCCTTATGCCTGATGCTGCAACATAAAAAACTAAAAAACAACACGATTTCTTCGATAATAATTTTTTCTTATCATCTAATTGCATTTTTAATGCAGCTTTATATGCTCGTAAATCGAAAAAAAAAAGCAGACTGTTTGTTTACTTTTCGTAGTGTCTGTGGCGTCGAAAAGTCCAACGTCAGTAGGAATATTTTGCGTTTCGTTAGCAGATGGCGGGAGGGTAGAATGTTTGACCTTATTTTCGAAACCGAAACCTTGATTTGCCAGCGATATTCTCTTTTCACCCTCTACTTCGGATTTTAGAAAGTTCATTAACGCAGTAAGTTTATTTGATGATTTACTAGTTTCACGTAATCCTACGCTTCTTTCCCATACTCTAATAACATCTTCCGGCAAACAAGATTCAACGAGAGGGTATAACATGCATGCGCATTTGTCAGACGTGATGTTTAATGTCTCGAGTGCTCTAAAATGAGTTTCAATTTTATCGTACAGTTTCGCGAGCCGTGTTGCTTTGTTTCGGCTCAATGAATTATTCAAAATTAAGCTTAACAATTCTCTCACATATACTTCTATGAGGAGATCCTCTTTGCCGAAATGAGCTTTAAGGCATTCAATTACTTGGTAATAATTGCCAGCCGACGGGGAGAAAGAATCAACCACATCTCTTGCACGCGAAAACCTTCAACATTGGCTTGAAATAAATATTGAAATTTATCTTCAGTGGAATTTCTGGATCATCTTGAATTTTCTTAAATTAACCCCAGAAACCCAACCATTCCTTAACATCACTGAAATTTTTAAATTCGATTTTTGGCATTTAGGTATTTTCGTAGTGGAAGAAGCAGTAGTACTGACGACAGGTAACAACCTGGTCAAGCGCATGCGGTGATCACCCAGGAAGCAGTTGCAGGTGTGGACCGTCTCGTGAAAATGAATCGGCGAATCACTACTCGATAAGTAACGGAGGAAATGTCTATCAGCATAGGAAGTGTGCACACAATACTGCATGAAAGGTTGGGATACCTCAAGGTTTGTGCGCAATGGGTGCCAAAACATTTGACAGAGGAGCAAAAGATTAATCGCATGTCTGTTTCCATGAAACACCTTATGCGGTACCACAAAATGCGGAACCAATTCCTTTCAAGGATCATTGCCGCTGATGAAGCATGGTTCCATCAGTTTGACCCAGCCACCAAAAGCATGGGAATGGAATGGCGACACTCTTCATCCTCACACCCGAAGAAGGCTCGCACGTCCACTACAGTTGGTAAAGCCATGTTAATGTGCCTCTTTGAAGTCGATGGTCCACTACTGTTGGAATGGCTACCTACAGGCACGACTGTCACTGCTGCCACGTACTATGCCACATTGCAGGAACTGATACAGAATATTAAGAAACCACCGTCGTGACATGCTGTCACGCAGGGTTGTCCTCTTGCATGATAATGTTCGTCTTCATGTGGCTGTGGAGCGCCAAACATTGTTACGGTAATTCCGCTGGGAGGTTCTCTAACATACCCCTTACAGCCCAGACCTCTCGCCGTATGACTTATAAGAACCCAGCCTCAGTTGCTATTTTTCTTTCCATAGTTTCTCACTGTAAGAGTGGCAACCATCTGATGTTTGTTGTAGTTTGTTGTAATTCTACGTAGAAGAAGTAACAAAAGAAGAGGAACGAGTTAACAACCATTATCTTCCCTACAGACCGGTCTTCAAAGCAGCAGTAAGGCCTGTATTTGACTCTTCGTTCAAGCAAAAGGATTTCCTGTCACTTAATAACTGTTTAGCAAAAGGTCAAAATTTAATTGAATTAATACCTAAACTGCTTCTTGAATTTAGGCAAGAAAATAGGGATTATTTCAAATATTAAAAGAGCTTTTCTTTAAATATCTGTTCAAAGATCTGATCATGATTTCCTAAGATTCCTATGGTGGAAAAACTCGGAACAAAAGGAAATAAGAAAATTTTGCCATTGCAGAGTAGTCTTTGGACTAAAATGCAGTCCGTTTCTTTTAGGAGCAGTGATCAACTCTCATTTAGACCAATGTGAACCTTCTTTGAAGGAAGTGGCTACAAAATTGAAAAATTCCTTCTATGTTGACAACTGTGTCACTTCAGTGAATTCGAATGAAGAAGCAGAATATTTTATTGCAAAATCAACTCAGTTAATAGCAAGTACTAACTTTGACTTCAGAGGGTGGGAACAAACAGATCTAAACAGTAGAAAGTCTACAATGAGCGAACCATTGAAAGTACTTGGTCTTCTGTGGGATAAATATGAAGATTCTTTATTTTGTCAATCTTTCTTTTGTCAACTTTATTGATCTCTCAGTGACAAGGCAAAATGTTCTATCAATTGTACAGAGAGGTTTTGACCCAATAGGTTTTACCTGCCCTTTTACACTCCTTCCAAAGTTATACTTGCAAAAGAGCTGGGAAACTAAATTGAGCTGGGATGCAGAGCTACCTGAAGATATCAAAAGAAAATTCTTGAAGTGGGTCAAAGAATTGCCCTTGTTATCATCTGTGAAGATTCCCAGACTACTTTCATTGACAGAAGGACAATCTTTTAGTTTGCATACGTTTGCCGATGCTTCACAGGGATCTTATGCAAGTGCAGTATATTTGAGAAGTCAAAATAAAGAAGTGACTCTAGTGCAAGCCAAAGCACGAGTGGCTCCCTTGAAAAAAATAAGTATACCACGACTTGAATTGCTTGCTTGTCTTATTGGGGTGCGATTAGCCTCATTTGTCAAGAAGAACCTTAAGGTCGAAATTTCAAAGGAATATTACTGGACCGATTCTTCAACAGCACTTTTCTGGATAAAGAACGTAGAAGTTTGGAGCACTTTTGTGAATAACAGAGTTTCAGAAATTAGAATCCTATCGGACCGTGAAAATTGGCATCATGTACCAGGTGCGAAAAACATAGCCGATATGCCATCAAGAGGATGTTCTGTGAAGAAACTCATTGAGTCAAGATGGTAGGAGGGCCCACCTTGGTTGGCACTGCCGGATGAAGAATAGCCTCGTTTTATCCCAATCGATAATAAAGAAGAGGTTAATACTGAAAAACGTAAAGCAGTTATAGTTTCGTTAAGCAATGCTAGCGATATATCTTCAGAATTCTCTGGCTATTTTTCAAAGTATAAGAAAATACTTAGAATGATTGGGTGGATACACAGATTCATAAGAAATACCCGAAAGAAGGAAAGAAGAAGAGAATCAGGAGAGTTAAAATTTTATGAATTGACAAGGGCTGAGAAATCTATCGTGAAGATTATTCAACATGATTCTTTTTCATCTGATGATATTAAGAAGCTGAAGTCAATAAGTGTGTTCAAAGATGACGAAGGCATTTTACGTGTCAAGTCTAGGTTGACTGAAAGAAAAGACCACGGAAATTTTATTTATTCGATGTTACTTCCGAAAAACCATAAGACCGTGGAGAAACTGATAATTGATAAGCATCTATCTATGTCTCATGCAGAAATTCATGTACTGATGTCAACACTTAGAAAGACGTTTTGGATTCTGAAAAGCAGAGCTATGATTCGATATGCTTTATCTGTATGTTTCGGGTACAGGAGACATGGAGGTACTACAGACTGTACCTGCTACTCTACCAGAAAACAAAGTTAGAGAGATGCTCGTGTTTTCGAGATTGTCGGCGTTGATTTAGCTGGTCCATTAATTTTGAAGGACAAAAGAAAAGCTTGGATTTTACTTTTCACTTGGGCTGCTTTCAGGTCTGTTCATTTGGAATTGATTTTGTTCCTTTCAACTCAAGGATTTCTACTTGGATTTAGAAGATTTACTGCCCGTAGAGGGAGGCCATTGATAATTTATAACGACAAGGGAAGCAATTTTGTCGGATCCAATAATGACTTAGCTTTAGAAGATTTATTACCCGTAGAGGGAGGCCATCGATAATTTATAGCGACAAGGGCAGCAATTTTGTCGGATCCAATAATCTCTTGAGATCGATTAATTGGAATACCATCGAGACAGAAGCCGGCACAAACAAGATCGATTGGAAGTTCAGTCCACCCGCAGCACCATGGTGGGGTGGCTTTTGGGAACGACTTGTTCAAATGGTTAAGAAGGTTTTACGTCGAGTTCTAGGCCAGTCATGCCTGAATTATGAAGAATTGATGAGTGTGCTGTGCGACTGCGAAGCAACTGTGAATGCCAGAGACCACTCACTTATGTGTCAGAGGACTCTGATGATCTCATCCCTTTGACACCATCCTTGTTTTTAGGTGAAATTCCAGTCTTTGGAGTTCCTGAATTGAAGTTGACTTCAATAAGAGACTGAGACATTTACAGAATTTACGAGAGCTCTTGAGAAAGAGATTTAGAAATGAATATCTCGGCCTGCTAGTGCAACGTCCATCTACAGTGCCGATTTCTCAACAGATAAAAGTCGGGATATAGTTCTTATCGAATGTGATGACAAACGCAAGGTGTTGTGGCCTCTAGCAAAAGTAATTGAACTATATCCCGGAAAAGACGGCAACATTCGAGTAGTTCGTGTCAAACCCATGTCTGGAGAATTAGTTCGACCAATCCAGAGAATATTCCCTCTCGAAATACCTTCATCTTTGGAGTCAGATGAGGCAAATGAAACTGAGACGCAGGGTGAAGACAGTTTAGTCTCAAAATTACCAAAGAATAATTCAGCTGCAGATTTATCAAAGGACATTAAGACTGTCGTGACTAGAAGTGGACGACAAATTAAAATTCCATCTAGATTTCTAACCTGAACACTACTTGAGTTATTTAAGAGTAGAAATTTAAGAACTTAATTTTTTCTTTGGTTTACTATTTAGCCTTAATTATTTGTGTGGACAGTATTTTTTATATTTTTTTGTGTTTTGATTGAATTAGTATATGTCATCAATCAAAAGGTGGGAGTATTGTTAGAACCCAGCCTCAGTTGTTATCTTTCCTTTCATAGTTTGTCACTGTAAGAGTGGCAGCTGTCTGATGTTTGTTGTAGTTCTACGGATTTTGAAAATAAATATGACGCTTTGGAATTTTATATGTAAAGTTATTTTACTTTAAGTTTATTAGGAGAAAGGAGAACGGTTAGTTCTTGCAAATCTCGACTACCACATCTTCGGTCTATTTACGGAGTATAATGAAGGAGGTAAAACTGCCTAGTAGAAAAACGTGTCCAAAAATGTCGCGATCACTAGATGGCGCTGGTGTTGCATCTGAGCGGTTCCAAATGTAAACATTTATTGAGTCGCCAGGCGGCTAAGCTTTGCAACGGATGAAGAAATGTTTTATGTTCTTATGCGATGGATTGCGATGGTCAACGTTTTAATATTCTACTCACTAATGATTGTATTTTATTCCTCAAATTATAGAATTAAATTACAGCTTTCATGCTCTAAGGCTTGTACAAGGTTTATTGAATGATAAATTTGAAGATGTTTTTCAATCTCCCCTCCCCTTTAGAAAAATAATCATATTACTAGTAATAATACTTACCGTATCTTTGTTAAATTTAATTAGAATAGGTTCTTTGCATCTCTCATTTTGTAAAATGCTTAGATACACAGCTTGATATAAACTGTGGCGAAATTTTAATGAAGCTTATAGAATTTTTTGCTTCAGTCAGTAAATTTTCTTTACTATCATAATGAGTTATTCTTTTTTATGAATCAGATGTCAGTTTTGATTTCGATACTTTTATCGTTTTCTGTTAAAAATTTCCATATCTTTGTTATTTGAGAAGATCTGAATTATGTTTCAAAATGATTTGACAATTTTAAAACAGAATTCAGTTAAGTATTCTGAACACTTGGTTATGCTGAACTCTATATTATTCATAATTAAATATAAAGAGTAAAAAGTATACTGAAACTAATTAAATCTATTTTTAATTTTGTCCTGCTTGAACTAACTTTTAACCATTAAATGCAGTATTTTTTTAACTAAAGAAACTAATGTAGATTTTTTTTGTATTTTAAAAGTACATGTGCCAAACTCTTTTCTCCAAAATAGAGAGCTTCGCGTTTCATATAATATATTTCTTTACAAATTTTTTTATCGGATTTAATAAGTTAATAATACTCATTAAATAAAATATTTTTATGTTTAAAAAATATCATATTATAATTGAATTTTTCTCAGCGGTTTTCCGTGCACCGGAACAGAACAACTCAACCTGACTCTTTCGCTTTTGGAACTATGCCAAAGAACATTTTTAATTCAGTTGAACAGTCAGACTCAGACGAACGCATTCGCAAGGCAGCTGCTATGCTGTCTATTCTTCACTATTTTGTTCTGTTCTCGTACTTATAAGTGTTATATGTTATTTTCTTGTTTATACTTGTATTGTGCAGTTATTTAATATAAGTTTCATGTTTAAAACGAGGACGTGTTTTGAGTTCCTTCAC